TTCAACCCTTAGGCTCTTGTATCTACATGTATTCAGTGTCATCACGGCTTCTCTTTTAGATTATAGGATTAGGACTGACTGTGAAAATAGCTTTTCTAGTGAAATCCTCCAGTGTTTCAGCTGAGATTATGAAGAACAGACTTTAAAGGTTCCTTGTTGCTTAGGGCTCCGTATTATTTCTCTATCTCCCTCTCTTACCTCAGCAAGCACGCTGCTCAGAGTAAATCTATTGTGAAAAGAGAGAGACACCCAGCCCTATTATAAGGAAAACATTGTTTTTAAACTCTATCTCTTGCTCCCCGCGTCTTCAAATGCATTTTTGTGATTGCTTTTGCTCTTTACCCTCTAGATGTCAAAGAAATGTATAACTGTAATTATGTTTCCTTGTTGTGTCTGCTGCGTCAACAGAGGTGTCTCCTTCTGCCTGCTGCACAGACACTCGTGAACGTTGTTGTTTTGCCAGCAGCCTCCTGTCTGCAGTGCACTGTGTGTTGCATTGTGGGAAGGCTACCTGACTGCTCTTTTTCTGAGCGCATGCAGCAGACTGCCGCGTTTGTGACGAGTCTGGCTGCAGTCAAGCCTTGTTCAGCTCCCAGTGTGTTGTTTCTTTTGTTTCCCTTGTGGGAGTCTGCCCCTCCTGCAGAGATCTCCTGAGGTTTTCAGAGGTCTGGTCTGGGCTGACTGGAGCGTTTATGCACCTTGTGTTTCCTCCATTTCTCCCCTCTGGCTCGTTAAAGTCTAAATTCCACCGACAGCTTTGAAGTGAATGTGTTTGTGTGTTTTTTTCTTTTTATTATACTTGGAGATATTTGCACTTGTTGCGCCTGCAAAGCAGATGTTTTGAAGGAACAGTGCTTTGCCAAGGAGATTACATTCATTTTGTACACTTCTTTTTGATAAACACTACATGCAGAGAATGTGTGAGCTGAGGCTGCTGCCCTCTTTGTGTCCAGTCCCTACAAATCTCCAGTAGTCGGGTGTGATACGATCCCATCGCCTGCTGCTCTTCACAGCCCCTGGGACGAGAGGACTGATCAATTGACTGTAGTCTGCAATCATCTTGTCAAATCAAAATGAAAAAGGAGTAGTGCTGCCTTTAATCCGCTTGTTGAACCCTACAGTAACATTTTCTCCTCTGCTTCTCAAAACTCCATTGAAGTGGTACCTGCTCTGAGAGTTGCAGATTCCCAACCAGGTGTTTATCTCCCCCCCCCCCCCCCCACAAACATCCATCCCTGCACACTCCACTGGGGTTAATCCAGTCTATACTTAAGTCACGGATGAGAAGAACCTGCTGTCACAGGACTGTCCTTGAAGTACCTCGAAGATTCTTATTGCTGTCATGTTTACCTTCAACATGTCATATAATCCTGCAAGTGTGCGCCATGGAGTATCGCTAAATGATTCAAACAACCATATAAATCCATGTATAACGCTTTGGCACGGTTGGGAACATTGTACATGGTTAATTGCTGGTCTGAGGGAGTCTGAGGACCTTGTCTTGAAATATTGAGCTGTCAAACACAGTTCTGCGCGGCCGTCTCTGGTCGTTTCACTTCAGTCCCCTTTGTCACTTTTCCAGTCGCTGGTGGACATTCTTGTGGACACAATGTCACCCTTTTCCCCCAAAGCCTTTGTGCCTCATTCTTACATAAACAGAAAGAGTTTTCAGCATCTGTTGTGCATGAGGTTTTCGTGCCAGCCAGACAGTTGACATTGGGAACAACCCCCCAAAACAATGCCCGTGTGAGGTCTTTATCAGGGTGACTTCATTTCATGATGGCAGTTTTGAGTGGTTCCCCTCTATATCGGGCTGGGTGATATGACAATGAATATAGACAATTTCCTATCTTAATAACAATGGATATCATGATATAGCATGTTTTCTGGTTATTCATTAACACTAGAACCGCCAGAGATTTTTTATACCTAAAACCGCCACCTGGGTCAAATTGACCCGCTATTAGAATGCATTGATTTTCAAGGTAAAATATTATTTTATTGAACAGTGAGTTTTGATCGCACAGGGATGAAACGTATACCAATATAATCTGTGGACTCTCAGGGCTCGACATTATAAATGGCCCGCTGGCCCGGAAGCTTTATTTAGACACCGCGGCCAGCATAACGTACTTTCAACTCGCCCCACAGCTGTTTGCTGCGGAGCGCAGCGCGAGCAGTCTCCCGTGAGCGGGAGCGCACTCCTTCACTACAGACTGTCTCTATCTCTCTCTCTCTCTCAATCTATCTCTCAATCTATAAGGAACCGCAGTAGACAAAAGGCGTTGCTATAGCAACACGTCATGTTTATATGAAAAGGGGTGGGGTCAATATGACCCGCTTGGCGGAAATAGGTATAAATGGCAATTTTTGGGGCAATTTCTTCAATCTGACTTCATATTGACAATTTTTAACAACATAGGGTGCTACATAACACACTTTCAGGAAAAGTCACGGACTGGAAGACTTTAATATTTTATTGAAAAAAAGTTACACACAAAAGAAAACAGCTCTGGGTCAAATTGACCCGGTTGGCGGTTCTAGTGTTAAATAAATCTTCAATTTCAGATAACTACATTGTGAACAATTTTTTTTGGGGGTGAATTAAACAATTTTCTAATAAAAGATTGTCAGTATTCTTTCTTCCGATTCTTTTTTTTGTTGCAAAATGATCGTAACAGTTTAAAGTAAAATTGTTGCAATGCATATTTACAGCTAAACCCTGAATGTTGTGTAAAAACAAATGATAAATGAAGGAGTATTCCCTTTAAAAAGAAATCATTCCATTGAAAGACGATATATGTTTTTATTAAATTATTTAATTTATTAAAGCCCTAGATCGACAATTATTTTAGAAATATTCAGATTGCATGCTGATCCCTACTATTAGATCTCAAAATGAAATCATGACACGCTTGTACTTGCGTCACTGGAGGGAACCTGCTGATATCAGGCGAGCAGCTTTCAATATGCAAATGTGTGACAGGAAAAGACACAAAACAACGAAAAAGCTCCAGAGATTTTCAGAGGCGAGACAGAATCAGGGGACACAACGCTCCACGGTCTCTGAGCTTGTTGTCAGACTTTGCAGGATCCACAAAGCGAGACTTGCTCACAGACAGACAGGACATGCTCCTGTGTAATATCTAACTTATGATCACATGCTGTCTTTGTGGGGAGACAGCATCACTGAGTTCTCTGCTAAATAGAGTTTGCATTCATATTTAAATGTGTTACTCAACACAAATATGATCGTTCCAATTTTTTAGAGTTCGAACAAAATTAAGTATTTGTGTCGCATGGATTGGTCTTGGAAAACGTTACTAATTGTGTAATTACATGCTGCACGAATTTAGGAAGCATCACACTTTGAGCTCTGTATTAAAGCAGGTTTGAGTTAAACTGCACTTGAAAAAATAACAAGGGTGTTTTGTAATGTCACATGCTTTTGATTTGTTATGTCTCAGACCAATATTGACAGCTACTTTGGTCCCAATCCTTGCTCTTGTCTTTTCCTAATGAGCTTTTTTGTCCCCTACGGTCAGATGGCAGCAATTCCAATTAGACTGAAAATCTTCGGGGGGAGATTCTTCATACTTGCAACGGAAATTGCTTTTGATTGTGGTTTTACTTCTGTTTGTCAAATTTGTTCAAACTCAGAAACGTGGAAATTAAACAAGAGTAAGTCGGTTTGAATCGCAATGAAAAACAAATCCCACATGGGATATAGTCTCCTCAAGGCTTTTTTGGCACTTCCTAATTATAACGTTGAGTTTAAGGCCTTGCATGTTTAATCACTGTGCTGGATTTATTTTAAGATTGCTTACTATTTGACGAATACAAAGTGGATTAAAGGAGGCAGGCGGATAATATGATCAGGAAAGGTATCAACATCCATCTTCCATCTGTGTGGTCTGTGATCAATCTGTGATTGTTGGCCTATTTGTGTCAAACATCCCCAGGTCTCGCCTCACAAACATTTTAGAGTTCAGTCGTTTTTGATGTGATGGGCTGCAACAACGGTGAAAACCAAGAGGGTATACAAAAGTAAAACTCAGAAGTAGTTGATGCTGCTTGCATTGTTTGATGAAAATTAGACCAAAGTTCGACCCGAGTAGAAGTCTGAAACTGAAAACTTTGTAGCATTAATTTTAGCTCATGCGCTAATATCCCTTTTGTTTATTTATTCATTTATTTAACAGGGGCAGTGCACATTAATCAACATTTCTGTAAATGTGCCAGAGTTAGCCAAGAGGCTATTTTTCATCTGTAGTCCCTTTGTGCTCTGAAGGGGTTCAAATTAAACCTGCTTTTAATGTAGATCTAAGGTGTTGGACTTGGCCTCCTTCCAGACTTTGTCATTAGTCAAATACCTTCTGGAAAGGCACTTCATAAAAAATAAATAAAAAAAACGTTTCTTGGCCCATAGAATTGAGGAAATATGATTTGTTGCCGCACACGCAGTCACACATGCAGAAAATGTTAAATCCCGAATCTGATGCAACTTGTGCTCCCTTCTGACACGGTACATTTTCTAGATTCCAGCTCCCTTTTGCTGGGACTCAAAACATCCCTGTCCCTCTCTCCCAACTCCTCCTCCTCTTCTCTTTTCTTCAGAAGCCAAATTGTTGTCTTGGCAAATCACACCAAAACATTCACACAGAGGTTTAAGATTCTTTTTGAGTGTGTCACTGGGGATTGTTCTTTTGTTTGCCTAAATTGTTTAAGTTCTATCATCACAAACATGATGATAGAACTGGATGAGGCCATGAGGCACATGACTGTTCAAGGCATGCAGGGAATGTTTTGTTTCTTAAAATACAGACCAGAGACAAATCATGCAATGAATCTAAAAGGAAACCTGGACATGACGCTCGAAATGACAAAAAACACCCTCATATTTGCACAGGAAATGCTAATAATTAGCGTATTAGACAGATAGCATCTCAGTTGATGTGTGTGACTGATTGTTTTTTCACTCTCCACTTTTCTCCCTACAGTGCCTGGGAACTTGGGCTGCTTCAGAGACAGCGGCGACCCGCCCACTTTGTCCGGCACCAGCGAGACCTCCAATAAACTCACCATCCAGAACTGCATTAGCTTCTGTAGGAAGCAGAGATACAAGGTGAGAAATGCTTAAAGGTCACCTATTATGCAAAATCACCTTTTTCATGTCTTCTATACATAAACATTTCATCTAAAGTAACAGACAAAGAATCAGCACTTTTGAAACAGGGCAGAAACAGAGGGGATTATGGGATGCTACAATGCATGATCTGTTTGGTATTTCGAGCCAAACACTTCAGAGACATGTTTTGTATATATCTGAGACCTATAATATATTGATGAAAAACAGTATAATAGGGGACCTTAAATAACAAACTCGTCCAAGTTTATATCTGAAGTCAGCTTCTGTAGAAGAAGAGATTCAAACGTCTACTGTACTGAAATTCAAATGTGTCCCCCTCATTTTTTCATGAATGAAAAAGTGTCCAGTCAATTGCCCACGTCAATTGGCTCTAGCCATAGTCAAGCTTTTATGTAAATCATTGGGCATTTACGGGCAATTTCCTGACAGCTATCACAATGGTCCCCAGTTCAGTCTATGCCCTCTTTATTCAGCCATCAAACTTCCTGTTTCGAACCAACCAGCAGATGACAAATCATCACCGCAATCAAGGCTGACAGCTGGAAATGAATGGTTATTAGCCCGGTGGCCCCTCCTCCTCAATGCGTTTTTGTCTCTCATCTCTGTATCTGGCATGCCATTGTCCCAACTATAAGCAGTGCCAGGTGTTCATTTTCTGTCCCAGCAGATCCGGTTCAGCTCCGTTTGCATTGACAGATACTGACAGCTCCCCCCCCCCCCCACCTCCTCTCTCAATTCAGCAGATGTTACAGGAAGTGGTGGCAGATTGGCATCGTCTGCCTACCCTTGGACGGTCACCGTTCTTAATGCGCATGCCAAACGTCAATGCTTGGAATCCTGTGTGACTTTTTTGACAAAGAGCATGCCCGATGAGTTATCCATCGCTTGTTTGCTTCTGCCAGAAGTATTCACGTTGGTGTTACTCCATCAGATAGAATAATGCAACAAGGACGTAGCTTGATACATCTTGGTGCGAGCACGGGCTCCATACATTCCTATCCCATGGCATAATACGCAGAGTGGGAAATGATGCAGTACCTTCAATTGTGTGGATTCATTTAGGGCCTAAAATTGGACAATGGTGTCCTTTTTAATGAGGGACAATAGCTCTTTTGAGAACAAGAAGCCAGTAGTGACGAGGTCAAGATTGTGTGAAGGTTTTTTGACGTTTCACATTTCTGCTTCAGGAACAGTTTACTAACAGTTTCATTTGAAAGATAGGTAGTCGCTATTTATGTTTTATGTTCTGTTTCTATTCTACACCCTGTGTGTTTGAAGGGAGGCTTCTCATTGGCTGAGAGGTTGTTATTATCCAGACTCAGATTATAGCACCTTCTAATCAGGATAGAAAGAGCAATTAGGGACTTTAATCTCCATGCAGTGAAGTGAGTGTTAACACAAATAAAACTATGCAAATAATTTAATTTAACAATGTTATTTAACACACATTTTTAAAAAGAATATTCAAAATCGTCATGTTCCCAGCTAAAAGTTTGTTCCCTCAGCAGTCAATGTTTTCCTCGCCGGCCCCCATGCCAAATGGATTTATAATGAATAGCATTATGGAAAGTGTTGACCAACGTTTGTTTTGAATTTCTGATGCAATGATTTGCATAACTCCTTTTGTGTTTTGCAGCTCGCCGGCATGGAGTCAGGATATGCTTGTTTCTGTGGCAACGAAGTGGAACAACATGACCACGGCGAGTCGCCTAGCATGGAGTGTAACCATGTTTGCTTCGGAGAACACACACAGCCCTGCGGGGGGGACGGCTGGGTCATCATCTTTGACAGTAAGTCTGGGGGGGGACATAACAACTTTGATTTTAAGATTTCCAGGGAAATATAAGTTACAAAATACATTTGTATCTGTGGTAATAACCCCTGCTGGGGGGGAACTTGTCCTTGGGTTTGTCATCTTAACCTTCCACCTTCCTCCAAATACTTTCTTTAATTAAGGATTCAGTTTGCCGCCAGAAGGCCCAGAAATAAATGTCCTTGTCACCAACAGCCCTTCTTTCCTCACACACAGTTGTGATCTATAGTCTTCCACATGACTCTACATTGACACAATGTATTGTAAAATATTGGACATGTTTAGTACCCGTTTGTCATGCATGAAAAGTCAAATCTTTTTAATTTGAGTAACATTTTGAATGTTTTAGGAACGTCATTACAAGCTATCGTACCTTTTCACTCCTAATACCAACTCTTGTTCCTTAACTCATGTTAAGCAACCAACTTAAACAAATTCAGAAATACAGACATCAAATTGTGCATAGTTTCAGAAGCAAACACTGTAGCCTGCCTGTACTAAATACTGATCCAATACCTCTCTCTTTCCCAAATTGAAATCTTCTCACCTCACTTCATGGAACTCATTGCGATTTTGATGTAAGGCAAAATGAGGTGACTCATTGCTTTAAAATAGCATTGTCAAATAAATTGTATTTAATGTGGATCAGTCACATCATGACTCATTCAAAGTAATTTTTAGGGACGATGCCAATCGTAACGGATTCGTTACAGAGGCTCTCATGTGACCAACGAAAACCCAGTACCCAGTTTGTTGAACAATCTCAAAAGCTTCTACATTTTGACACGGTCAAATTTTATCTAGTTTTTCTCTTTCTTCCAGCACGTGTGGGGGCCTGTGGTGGAAACTACTCCTCTCCATCCGGAGTGATCTACTCCCCTGATTTCCCAGACAAGTACGGGGCTGGCCGAGTTTGCTACTGGACCATCCACGTCCCTGGAGCCTACGCCATCCTCTTCAACTTCACTTTCTTTGAAATCTCCGACCAGACGGACATGGTGGAGCTCCTTGACGGCAACAACAACCAGGTGTTGGCGCGCTTCGACTGGCGCAGCCCTCCGAGGGAGCTAGTGAACGTCACAGGAGACCATGTCATTCTGTACTTCTACTCTGACCGCACCAACCAGGCCCAGGGATTTGCTCTGCTTTACCAAGGTAGGACTTGGACTGTTTGTATATTCAATGAGAATGATTGCATCGAAGGACAAATGTTGTAAAATGTCTCCAATATCTTTTCTAATGTATGGTTAGAGTTATAGCCAACATCCTGAACTACAGTGCTCATTTGCATAATCAGGTGCGTGCTGACTGGCCTCCTCCATGATGGAGTTTTGCATGGCAGCCCTGGTTTCAAGGACTACCGCCTTTTAGCTGTGGCGAGGCAGTTGTCACGCCACTGGCAGGCCCTCTTCTCTTTCCATTTGCTAGTCAATGTCTCACAGCCCCGGGGAGATTCTGCATATTTAAATAATGTTTTGTTTTTCTAGGAACTCACTCTCTTATCAAGCAGCGGCAGGCTGCTTTGCTGCTCCAGAGCACTCCTTGGTGAATTGCACAGCGAGTTCTTATGCCACCTACATACAAAATACTTGATTCATCGGGCCTTACGATAACGTGATTCCACTGTAGAGCAGACATGCAGCTGGGGGACTAAAAGCTCTCAGAAAGTTCAAGACCTCACAGAAAATAATTGTTTTCATCTCCCCCAACTACTCTTTAGAATGTAGAAAAGTGAATGGTAAAAAAAGTAAAGCTGTTCTCTGTTTATTGTATTACTAAACATCATCTCAGAATGAGCCTGACTGCACCAAAAATGATTAAACAGACTAATTTCTGGAGGCATGAGAGGAGCACACCGTGATATAATTCAGTGTAGGTGACATTCAAGCTCACAGCTCGCTACTCTTGGAGGCAATCTGTCCCCGCTCTTTCCCCTCTGCCTTCATTTATAATCCTCTGTCATTTTTCTTGCCGCTAGCATTACAGTAAAAACAATATTGGAATGTCAAAATCCGCTGACCTCTGGACTGGCACGATCCCTTCTGCTCTCATCTTGGTTCTTGTTTTACGTGAGGCATAGTGTAGCAATAAATGGAATCTGTGACATGATATGAGAAAAAGGTCACCTCCTGTAATAGGGTGGATTTTTCTCAGCGAGATAGAGATAAGAACACATACTGTAGTGACCTGGGTGCAGAAACAAATAACATAAACAGGAAGACAACAGGAAGACAAAGTTAAAGTATACGCACTTAATATAGCTCATATCTATTTTATGGCAAGTTTAGCAGTCGAAGCAGTCATTTGAAAATAAACGCTCTCAGTTGAAGAATGGTATTTTTTTTGCAAATGGGAAACATGTGGGAAGTTCTGGGAACATCACTGTCAGGTTGAACTGTAATGTGTTAAGAACACTCATTAAATCACAATGAGTTGAGGCAGAGCAGCTGGAGTACGTCAAAGGGAGAACCAGTAAACATTTGTTTAGCTTTTGTCTCTCATAACTCCGCTAATTAGAAGCAGTGATTAGCCTTAGGGTGTTTTGTGAATGTGAATCAAAGCTGAGAATTACAATTATTTGTATTTGTACTCATCAATTGTGATTTTGTTCCCACTCAATTCAAAGAGACACAAACCTAAGATTAGTTTGAGGCAAATTTTCAAAGCTTAATTTATTTCTAACTGATACATTTCTGAGATGTTTTTCTCAAACAAAGCTTACTGCAAATGAACATTTAGGAAAGATAATGAAAGAGTGAAGTGCAACATGCCACAGTTTGTTTCTCAGAAGCAAGAACATTCTCAAATAACATAGTGATTTTAAATAAAACACGTCTGTATTTAGGAGAAGTAAATTAAAGGCAGAGTTGATTTTATTTATATATTGCTTTCCTCCGGGAACTCATAAATGAGTCGAAATAGTTCAGGCTCTCTGGCACTGCTGCTTTGATGAACAAACTGTGCCACATCTGGCACTGTAAGCAGGTTAAAACAAATATAATTTATTGCAAACAGTTCTTTGAATAATGTGTTAGGGGGGGGGCATAGAAGCTCTCACCACACCGCATGTTTACAGCACACATGAGTGTTTTTGCAAAGTCGATCTGTTTCTTTACAAACACATTAAATATTCACTCGTGACTGCCGTGTATGCTTTCAACGACATGATCAGCGTGATGTATCCTATTACTGCGTGCCTGCTAAACAGCACACTTTACCCTCAGGGGTAATTAAAGGGGCGTTAAGTGATACGTGTCCTCAACTTGTAGAAATGACATGGCAGAGCTTTTCCACATCTGGGTCTCCGGCACAGCATACATTGCTCGCCTAACTGGAGCTGTGAAAGCCTGGATATAATAGATAGAATAGGAGGTGTATCAGATCTTTAACAGTACTCAAGTAGGAATACAGGATTAATAAAAAGATAGAAAGAATAACTTAAAGGGGACCTATCATGCAAAATGCACTTTTGTACGTCTTTTATACATGAATATGTGTCCCCGGTGTTCCAGGGAACTCACCAAGTGTCAGAAAACACAACCCTCTCTATTTTCCTCCATACCCAAATCTCTAAAAAAGGGGCTGCAACGGATCTGATCAAAACTGATCCAGATTTGAACACTGTCCTGACGTCAGGACGGTGGCGCTACGGCTATTGGGCCAACTCCACCAATCAGGAGGAGACAGCCACGGCCATTGCCGTTCGAAAGTGCTGGAGACGCTGTAGTACATATGCCAGGCCTGTAGATGGTGCTGTTCTCACAGAATCAGCCCTTGCAAAAACAGAGCTAAAACAGTGCACATAGAGCGAATTGAGGCATGACTAAAATGCATGATCTGTTTGGTATTTTGAAAAAAAAAAAGTATAAATATGCCTTATATAGGTATGGTCCTACACTATATTATTCAAATATAGCATGATAGGTCCACTTTAATGAAGATGACAAAAATGAACGATAAAGTTGCTTCAGTAATGGAGGTGGATGGTAGCCTCTTCCATATCTCAGAACTTATTTCCAACCCATTCCTTATGTTGTATGCTTATCTATTCATGGTTATGCAAATGACTAAGAGCGAAATAAAGACTTTGGGGAGAATTCACAAAAGATATGGTGGTAAGGATATTACAGCGCAAACATGCACATAAAGTTGTGTAGTTTTGCAGTACACTTTGCCCTTTTCTCAAAGTGCTTTACAACAAATAAAACACTTTAAAAGCATTTCAATATACAACTGAAACTTGTCTTTAAAATGACATTTAAATACATCAATTAAATAAAATATAAAAGGAGCTTTATTATTTATTTATATGTCACAACTGGCATCCCGTATATCCTAAAATAAATTCGTTTTTTGCTTCCATATAAATGTGCTTTAGTAACCACCAACTATATTGCACTGTAACTGTGTGAATTTCAATGTTGTATTTATGCAATTGCCAAATATCTTAAGTGTTGTGATCACTTTTATTTGGTGTTATTTTTGCTCTGATGAGATCAGCCACAAAATGTCACGGCACATTGTTTTTGCTACAGGTCGACTAATCTGTAGCTTTTCATGAACTGTGTCAAAAATGTCATTCAGTGTTTGAATATATCACTCTTAGTCTTTTGGCATTTTGTCCTCTGCTTTAAAAACTCACACTTAGAAGCTCACTGAAGCACTGAGATAATTGTGTCATTTTACTAAGATCCAGTTCTAAATATAGGGGGAAACTTTAAAAAAAACACCATAATTCCAAGAACTTTAGTAGAATTTCATCACTAAAAGCAACTCTTTGTATGTGTAAGCTTTGTGAGTACAGCCACAGATCTCTTGCACAGGAGAAGGTGGAAACCAAAAGCAGATCTACGACGAGAATACTGAACGTACATTGAATGGAACACCGCCCCAAATAAATGATAATGTTGCACTGTGTCGGCTTGAAGTTAACAACATCTACTATGAGAACCTGTCCAAATGACCTCACTTTTTGTCTCCCCAGCACTGAGAGCAATGGAGGGCGAAGGAGGTGAGGATGATGAAGCGGAGGACGTCTCGAGCACGGCGGGGCCGCAGCTAGCTGGCGGCGTCACAGAGAGGTCCAACAGCACCTCCAACGGACGCTCCTCCCAGATCCTCTACGTGATCACGTCCAGCCCCGGGAAACCGGAGCACAACATGCCAGGTCAGTGGGCTGGACGCGGCGAGACCACCAGCCACAGCGCTAGTATGTTAACACCCACCATACACTGCACCTCTCTCTACCTCTGCAGGGATGTTGCGGGAGGTTTTCTTGGAGCTCGAGCTTCCAATTTGCATGACCTGGTTTTCTCTGAAAGTATTTAAGAAATCCTCTTAGTTTGATGAGAGGCTTCTGGGAGCTTCTGCCCACAGTGACTTCCTGTGATCACACATAGATGTCATTCTACTTGACGCTTGTTTTTCCTGTCAATGACTCACAACTGAAGTTACTTTGGGTCTCCCTGCTGATCACAAACAGGCGTCTTGTCAAAGCTGCGCAGGGTGGACTGATGTGTTCAGGGCTTTTCTCTTTTCCCCAAATATCACTCTTTCCAAACTCTGAGCGCTCTGTCTCCAAGGGCGATCTGACAAATGCAAAGTGCATCACTATTTCTTGACAAATTGCTGGCTGAAGGCTGCTCACAGGTGTGCCTGCAGCGCTGTTTGAATAATCTTTGGCTTTTCAGTCTGCTTTACTTCCTTTTCATTACCCTGGTGATACATCGGATTGATCTGATTGATTTTAACGGTGTTGCTCCCTCTCCGCAGTGTGGACCATTTACGCTCTGGCAGCTCTCCTCATTCTGACAGTCATCGCCATGGTGGCGAAGCTGCTGCTCCATATGACGGTCAAGTAAGTATTAGGATGTTTCGAGGTGTGCATGATCATCCAAGCATCAAATGTGAAAGCTTACATCTGTAGGATTATTCTTCATTCATGTCATATTGGAAAATGTGAAAGACTAGGAAGACATTCCCACAGTTGTTACATTTGAATGTGACTGTAGCATCCTACAAAGTACAAATGATTGCGTTCTTCATGTTTAGCCAAGGTTCAACCCAGAGCGACTTCCTATGATCACACATGAAAGAAATGCTACATGACGTTTGTTTCTTCCTGTCAGTGATTCATAACTTAAAGTGGACCTATCATGCTATATTTTAATAATATAGTGTAGGACCATACCTATATAAGGCATATTTATACTTTTTTTTTTTCAAAATACCAAACAGATCATGCATTTTAGCCATGCCTCATTTCGCTCAATTTGCACTTATTTAGCGTTGTTTTTGCAAGGGCAGATTCAGTGAGAACAGCACCACCTACAGGCCTGGCATATGTACTACAGCGTCTCCAGCGCTTTCGAACGGCAATGGCCGTGGCTGTCTCCTCCTGATTGGTGGAGTTGGCCCAATAGCCGTAGCGCCACTGTCCTGACGTCAGGACAGTGTTCAAATCTGGATCAGTTTTTATCAGATCCGTTGCAGCCCCTTTTTTAGAGATTTGGGTATGGAGGAAAATAGAGAGGGTTGTGTTTTCTGACACTTGGTGAGTTCCCTGGAACACCGGGGACACATATTCATGTATAAAAGACGTACAAAAGTGCATTTTGCATGATAGGTCCCCTTTAAGTTACAGCTAAACAGGGGACATAAAGAAGCCACAAAGGAAATGGAATCCAAACTACTCTATTGACCATCTTAAGTATTTCTTTGTATTTGTTTAATCTTTTTCTTTCATCACCTCGATTGGACTCCTTTGTTTCCTTCCGTAACATAGTGACATCCCTACATAACTCTAAGCAGTTGAGCAATCAGAGGGCTCTGGTTTCAGACAGAGGGTGAAAAGAGGTGCTGCAGCACAGGCAGTGTGAGAAGAATAAAGAGCTTTTTGAACATTAAAGCATGTAAACATGTCCCAGTCGAGACTAAATACTAATATGAACCTGAACATTAGCATTATAGAGCCCTTTTACTAAAGGGTCTCTTGAAAATAAATGAATTTCTGTTACCCAGTTTTTCTTCCAACTACATATTAATTTAGTAAACACCAAGAATTTGGAAATAAGTTTAAAGCCGAGTTTTTACTACACATCGATATCTTCCTTTACGTTTTTTAACCGAATTACACAATATTTAATATTTTTCCATAGTTTCAGTGATATCTATTTTACCAACGTAGGTAAAATTGCTGCTTTTAGGTATAGAGAACTAAGAGTTTAGATTTTGAATATTAATAGTAGTGGATTCAGTTCGATTAAACATATAAAGTGGAAGATAATGAAGCCTATTCAAGCATCCACTGCTGTTAATGCCATTAGTCAAAGTGTATTGGAAACCAGGCATGGAGTGACACATTAACAAGACAGTGTGACACCATTTACAAATCCCTGACTTTCCAATATCATCTTTTCTAATTGCTCTGTTTCCCCCTCTCAGGTCTCAGAACATCCCAACGGTGAGCGGTTCAGACAGCTGCAGTCAGAGCACCGCGTCCTCTGAGCCCTGGATCATCCTGTACCGGCCCTCCACCATCTCCCTCTTCAAGAAGAAGCTAAAGAACCACCACGGCGACCTCAGCCCCCTGGTGGGCAACTAGCTGCGCACCACCACTAACCAAACGCCACCGCCAAACACAACTGCTCTGTACGATGGCCGTCAGGAGCCAGGCCCTCAGACAATGAAACTATAGGAGGCGCTGCGCCAACACGAACAACTGAGTGGCTAATGACAAGTGACTGCTAAGAAATGGCCTTTGAGCCCAAGTGGCCCTCCCACCCTGCTCAGCACCAAAGAGGAGTGGGACAGGCAGGGCTGTCACTGAGTGTGGGGGCCAAAGAGGACGCTCTGACAGAGGAAGAAAGTCAGGCTCCATTTCCATCGCCCATGGATGTCCCTTACAGTCAGCATACCTCCTGAAAACCTTCCAGACTGCAGGCTCACCAGAGAAAACACAAGCTGGTGCAGATTAACGGCTAACTGTCTGTTTCGGAAACGGGGAGGTAAACCTCTTCCCGGTGCTTCAGAGTCACAGCTTTCATCAGCAGCAAGGAGAGGATGAAGAAACTTTGATTCACACTTTACAGTTTTGTATAAATCGACTAACAGCCAAAAACCAGAATCCTCCCATCCCTCAAAGTAATCTATTTATTTGTCTTTTTGAGTCCATATGCAAAGTGCTAATGTTTCCTTTTTGTTGTGCTTCACGTAACAACTAGCTTTCTGAGAAGAGGGAAACGGGATACAGAAACGCCATTCTGAAGGTAGATATCACAGCACTTTGGGGATGAATCACTCGCCATAAAAATGAAAAGATCACAGAGCGCTCGCCCACTCAGCACTCATGTGGATTTGCGTGTAGAGATAACTAGCGTTGTTCCCCTTGAGTGGGGGTTGGGTGGTGCAGTGTGCAGACAAACTGCCATTTAGGGAGGCTTGGGAAGATCTGAGGGCTTTTTCTGCTCGGTTGTGGGTGGGAGTCTTTTCGGTTTGATGGTGTTCAAGTGCCTTAAGGATCTCCTCTTCCCTTGTCTCAGATGCATCACATCTGTTTCGGGTCCCTCACTCGAGTCTTTATAATCAGCGTGGATGTGAAGAGTTTCATTCCAAAATAGGATTTCTACCACTTAAATGTAAAGTTTAAAGAAGAAATGCTACATCTTGTACAGTGATTGAAAGCATTAAGTCTTTTAAAAAATATTCCACTCAACTGAAAACCTCTCCGGATATTTTACATTTTTACTACATGATGGACATGCAGCCTTTTAGGATAGAACTCTTCATGTAGAAACGGACAAGGCTTTGAAAAAAAAAACATTTGTTTAATTTCTTTGTGTGCTCTTATGTGTAGTCTTGGACATTTACTGAACATATTGTTCTTATTAAGTTGTCTTTTAATTACGGGAGGGGGGGTGAATATTGTTGTATATTATGTAATTCAGTGATGATATTTATGTCCGCTCTTTCATTTTGTGTCTCGTCAAGGCATTTGAAAAAAGTACTTTCTCGTCAACTTCGCCTAAAGGTATAGACTGATGTTTTTCTCCCCTTTTCACAGTGGTACATTTCTTAAATTCTACAAGACTAATATTAAGAATAAGATCAACTTGTATCAACAATAACACAATTAATAATAATAATAATAATACATTTAATTTCTAAGCGCTTTTTCAGGTGCTCAAAGACACTTTACAGTGGTATTAAAAGGAAATAAAATAAAATGTAAAAAGTTAAATTAAAATATTAAAACAAAAACACAACATTATTAACACATTCAAATTACACATAAGCCCGAATACACACATGTACAATCAACCTATAGACTATAAGAGGTGGCCGAGCGAAAGGACTGCCAGTGTTCCGGCGCAGGGGCGGGGGGGGGCAGTTAGGGGATACAGTTAAGGACACCTCAGCATTGCCACGAAGCCTAACTGACACCTCTCCAGCTACATTACATTACATGTTACTTGTTAGAGGCTTTTATCCAAAGCGACTTACATACTCAATACAGCTACCATTCAACACTCCGTATTTTTGGTTCGATCGAGTCTTGAACCTGCGACCCTTCGGTTCCCAAACCGAGTCCCTACTGCTGCCCAGGATTCTGCATTGACCCATTCTAGTATTAGGAGCAGTGGGCAGCCATTATGTATGGTTAGGGGACGGTGCCTTGTTCAGGGGCACCTTGGTACTACTTAGGCATTCTGGGACTCTAATCAGTGACCATCCGGTGCCCATGCCAAGTCCCTACGGCCTGGGCCACCACCGCTCTTGAACTTGCTTGATATCAAGCCAAATTATTTTTAACGTAAACAATATCCCCAGACAGAAATATAACCAAAAGCCCCCTGTGCACCAGCTGTCCTAGCTGTCACGATTTTCTGTGCATTGCTGTGACTGACTTAAACTCCTTGTGAAAGGTCAAATGTACAAGCTTGCCATCGGCGTAGGTATGATAGTCACCCCAATCATTCTCTGACAGGATAAATAGAAATTATGTTTGAAAACCACAGCGCACTTAAATCTGCTTCCAATTACAAGATGAAATAGTACTTATTGAGTTTTGCATTCAGTTTCAGTGAAAAAGTACTTAGTGCAGCAACCTGAGCACTTGAGACAAAAGGAGAAACACGATGCAGCATCACGGGGACATTCAAGTCAGAAAATGTACAGTTTTCCAAGAATCAGAAATCATTTGAAGCCTTTAAAAAAAAAAAACGTTTCTTTTGTCAATCAGAAGTTTTGTAAAAATGTGAGGCTATATTCTCCCTGTCTGCTCAACTGTAACTCATGTTAATTATTGCAAGACAGGAACACATGCCCCTGGGTCTGTGATGTTCAGAGCAGACCATGCGTACAGAGAGGGAGAAAAAAAAGAGCCGTAGATGTGAGAGCGATGGGAAATTAATGTGCGTTCTCATCAAACACAAGCTAACGGAATCTGACAGTTAAAATCTAACAAGGACATATTTGTTTGGATAGCCTGGTGAATTATGCAAACTCCCATCTGCCAGTCAATCGGAAAATTCCACGCTTTCTTCTGAGCGGTGGAAATGGTCTTTTCCCAAACTGTCGTTGACGTGATTGTCGTGTAGTGTTCGATGACATGAAAACCTCACCGGAAGCCCTGTGGGAAATCATCTAGAGGGGCCAAAACATTGTTTTCATGAAATTGTACATAGCAAAAAAAACGTGAAATGTTTAATTTATACAGTAAATTATTGTTATTTTGTATGTGAATGGGATATATATTTTGTATAAGTGAAGTATCTTTGTAGTTTTATTTAACGTGTCCTGGTTGCAAAATAAACACTGTATGCATGTTTTTTAAACTGGTGTTGTGCTTATTATTGTGTTTATGTTCAATGCTCTTCAAGATGTACAGTATGCATGCACTCAAGTGGCAGAGAAGCAGGCCCAGTTCAAGCTAATCCCATTCATAGACTGCAGTGTTTGGATGGTGCAACCGCTACCCTTCTTTTTTTCTATGAAGTTAAATATTTATCAGATATGCAAAATGAAGCCCGGACTGTTTGTAGATGCACACACACACATGCACGCACGCATGCACGCACGCACACACACACACACACACACACACACACACACACACACACACACACACACACACACACACACACACACACACACACACACACACACACACACACACACACACACACGGAGGAAGGATTTAAAGTGCCATGTGTAACCCATTGGTTTCCCTCCAGGATGAGGTCAAGCATGCAACCTGCACATGTTAGAGGGTAACAGCAGGAGGTCAGCTTTACAACTGGAACACCATGAAAAAAACAAACATGGAAGGACGTGTAACAAGCTGGAACACTCTGGATGTTTGCTACGGATATTTCTTAATTCATAAAAGGTGTTTCTGAGTTTTTATTTCAACAAGTGCTCACTCTGTAACTGTTTAAGTGCTGGTTTTGTTTCTGAGGAACTGGGCAATGGTGTGTGCTATATGTACCCTAACCCAAAGACAACTGGCATTGCAACTCTATGCAAAAGTAAAGTGATTCTGACAAATGTGTGCACGTGCTTCCACACAGCTTCCTGTAGATGTGCATGTGCAACAACAAAGGCTCACTTTTGGTCAAAAACACAAAGTTGAAACTGTTTAAGTTTCCCTTCAAATGCTGTAAGACATCCAATAATTAAAAATCTTGTGACCTGTGAATCTCCGAAGCTTCTGATTGAGTCTTTGAGAACTTTATTATTTAATAATCCTATACATGCTCTCAGAAGTTGAGGTCACAAATCAGTAAGTCTCTCGGCGGCCATCTTCACCTGTGACTGAATAATATAATCAATATAATAATAATACCATAATATTGTAACAATTTACAGGTAGTGTATAAACCTGTTCAAGTACATTATAAGTTCTACCAAGCTTGATGCATTTTATGGAAAGTAGTTCAAACCACTTTTTTAGTGTGCAGCCTTTGGCACTTCAGTACATTATGTCCTCCAGAAGAGCAATCAAGAGGGCACTTATGCTGGCTTTTTTTCAAATATGGGGACACTGTGATGCTACACTTGGCTTCAGGTTATTTGCAAATGCAATAGTTTCATCATTTTATCATAACCACACACATCCAAGCTCTAACAAGAGTAACTGATCCTCTTACTCCCTCTATTGGTGACAATGTTTGAGCACATTTCCTCAAAAGCATCCTAACACTGATTCTTGATAACAGTTTTTGCTCCTTTGTGTAGTAAATGAGCTTCATTAGCCACAAATAGAAATAGGCCAACAAATGTTGGATGAACGCTTTAGTTTGAGACACTCTAGGTTACAAAGATTTCTTAACTGAGGTTTTGTGGGATCTCCTAAAAGAATTCTGATATCCACACAACCACAGAGAGAAATTAAATCTTTGTGGCCGTCCACTTAACCTCAAAATGTGTTGGTTTTTTTCTCAATAGCAATTGTGTGTGCTGTAACATTAATCCAAAGCTAGGCTTGGTGCATAATCACCACTCCTCTAGGTCCATGTGAAAAAGCCTACCTTCCCATAGGCAAGGAAAAGAGGGCGATGTAAGTTGATTCCTCTGAACCCAAGTCGACCAGTAATTAAGGCAACAATGGGACAATACAGGGCCGTGTCTAGTTACTGTCAGAACGAGAAAGTGAGAAGAATGGAGGACAATACCTGCCCCTTTCTGCACTCAGCGTACTGAAGTCAGGTAGATTAGGAGAGAGGGACTGTCAGAGGAAAAAGGAGCAGGTCTAGCCTGATGGGTTTGGAAAGACACTGTGAGAAAGAGGTTTTCTGGCTGTGCAGGAACTTGTCCGTTTGATCCGCGCTGCTCAGCAATAACGTCTATGGCCCTGGTGCAATTAAAGCACTTTCATGCCCTTAAGTGGTTTTAGAGTATACGTGCATTGGCATGCTTGAAATGTTCCATCTATTGTCGAAGCTCAACGCTGCTGAAAGCTGTTTATATACGCTGTCTCTTTACCTCAGCCTTCAGGACAGCGTATTAGTGCTGACAAATAAAAAGAACCATTTAATTAAACAAATCATTTACATGGTAAATATTCCCTCGCTCCTCCTTCTCACAAGGATTTGTTGCTTGTATGTCAAAGTGGATAAGCTTAAACACCAATGGTAGAACTGTTACCTCCAAAATGACAACAAGTTTACCTTACATCTTTCTAAAACAGTATCTACAAAAACAGATTATAACTTTCAGGAAGGATAGATTTACTAAAGGACTGATGTGTTGAATTAGATTTGGCTCATGTGTAGACTATTTCATAGCCTGCTACAGGCATGGCCGTCACTTTGTATT